GCCCGGGGCCCCGGGGCCCCGCCGGCCCTGTACCTGCTGGCTGAAGGTCACGGTTCTCCTCCGGCTGGTTTCGGGGCCGCCGCCCCCAGCCGCGTCCGGGAGAGCCAGGGTCTGGGGTCTCTTCAGGATCCCAGACGCCCGTGGCTTGGAAGCGTCCAAGGAACCCACCCGCAGCACGTCCCCGTCGGCGCCCGCCGCCAGGCCCCCGTCCCTGCGGTCCGGCCGGCCCCAGCCGTCGGGGGCGCGGGGGAAGCTGGCGCTGACGGCCTGCCTGGGCAGGCTGCTGGGGAGGGCCAGGTAGCCGTCGTGGCCCGCGGTGAAGCAGTCGATGAGCACGCTGTCGATGTGGGACGTGCCGAAGGAGGACGCGAACTCGTTGAGGCCGCTCAGGGAGCTGTCCCGGCTCAGGAAGCTGCCGTACTTGGGCGTCAGGGGGCTGGGCGGCGAGATGGGGCTGGAGAAGCTGGCGTCCACGCCGCCGGGCGTGGGCAGCGCGTCGCCGGCCCCGGCGTCCACGGCCACAGGCGGCGATGGCGGCAGGGGGAGGCTGGGGCTCTTCATGGCCGTCCTCTTCTCCCCCAGCGGCTGCAGAGGCCGCTCGGGGATGCTGGCCAGCGTCAGCACCGTGGTGACGCTCAGGGTGACGGCGGTGAAGATGTAGACGACGCGGAGCTGGCCGCCCAGCGCTCTGCCGAAGCCGGTTCGGTCCCAGTGGATTCCCCCGACCACATAGCCGAACCCGCCGCCGAGGCCTGGGAGAGAGGACCGGCCTCAGCCCTCACCCCACAGGCAGCCAGGACTGGCTGGTCGCATCCGTCTCCCCGGGACCCCGGCATAACGACAAGGGGGCCCAGCGGCCTTCACCTGCCCAGGCCCTTCCTGGGTGAGCTGCGGTCAGAGGCTGGGGAGGCAAGGCCGGCCTCCACCTGCAGAGCACACACAGTCCACACCAGGCACCTTTCCTTCCAGGCCTTTCCAGTCCCCTCTGGCTCACTCGGCGTGAATGTGTCAGGAGCTCATCTCCAAGCTGAGCATGGTGGCTCCCACCCATAATCCCAGCTACCTAGCTACTCAGGAGGCTGAGATCTGAAGACAGGGGTTCAAAGCCAGCCTGGGCAGCCAGTTCTGAGACTCCATCTCTATAGAGCGCAAAGTCAGAAGTGGTGCTGTGTTTCAGAGCACTAGTCTTGAATGAAAAAGCCAAGCGCAAACACGTGTGCGCGTCAGTGCCGTCCCCTGCTGCTCTCCTCCCTGGCCGCCGACTGGGCCTGTGCCACCCTGTCCCTCCTCCCCCTGCCCCTCCTCCCCCTGCGCCTCCTCCCCCTGCAGCTCTCAGGACCTTGACCATTGACACACAAGGATTTGGGATTTGGTTACAGTGTGGAGTTCTTTACCCACAGCCCGGGGCACCAGACACCTGCCTCAGAGGCTCCTCAGGCCAACATGCACCTCTGAGCGCTGCCATGGTGACCCAGCTGCAGAGGTCAATTCTACTTCTAATAAAAGCCATTTCCTCCACCTCAAGCTCCTCTGCCTGAGCTTGGCCCTGAGGAGGCCCCCCTGATGGAGGCTCCACCCCCAGCCTGGCTCTGATGGAGGCTCCACCCCCAGCCTGGCCCCGAGGAGGCCCCCCCCACAGCCTGACCCTGAGGAGGCCCCACCCCAGCCTGACCCTGATGAGACACTACCCCCCCCAGCCTGGCCCTGATGGAGGCCCACCCCCAGCCTGCCCTGATGAGACACTACCCCCCCCCAGCCTG